CTCACTTGAAGCCAAATTAAATGTCAGTTTTGTCTATAGTTTAAGTAGTCTGATCATCCCCCACTAACCAAACACTAACCAAATCTCTTTTTCGGATGTATGAAAAGGGATTCTCAAATTAGTTTCTGTTATTGGTATAATTAACAACACTCAAACTAGTTTATAAAACTAAAAAAAAACACATAATGGATCAAATTTTAATTAACATGGCCCATGCTTCTCTTTTTATTTTGTCATATGTGTGTGTGGGCACAGAGATGCTTTAGCTTGAAGTTATGAGCACAATTTAAAGTGACAATAATGCATTATCATTAATGTATGAAACTCCATTACATTGTCAAAGCTGTTAAGCAGAGTAAATGGTAGAACCAATGAAAGAACAAAAAAACAAAATTATATTATCAAGACGTGTAATCATTTTGTTCATGAAAAAAATATATGATCCACTTTTTTTGAATAGATGAGTATTATTCCCTCATGGGATCCCAAATCAACAACAATCATAATCATTTTTCATTTCAAAATTTTCTCTTTTCCTTTCTATTTTTTCCCATTTAAAAAATAAAATGTTATGATTGTGAGGCGAAATTGGGGAGAAATTGGAGGACAGTCCATGCCTATTGACTTTCTCCTCTTTTTCGTCCTATAACTACAGTCGATTTGTATAGTTAATAGCTCATCTATAATGTGGTTGTATAATTATCAATAGGAATATTGAAATGAATGATTTCATCTCAAGTTTCTGGTACAAGGTGTCAGTATGTGAGTGTTTTGCTTTGTCATAACTGAATGTTGGAATGTATAAACGAAACTAGCCGTCGTCAAACCGCAAGCTAGAATTTTTAAGAGACCGTGCAAGAGAAGTATTAGAAACTTAAATGATGTTTGTCATGTTTTGGTTGGTTGAAAGTTTTTAATTTTTTATATGATTTAATTATATTCAAAACTATTAATATCAAATTAGCTAGATATTTTTGACAAGAGATCAAATGATGGAGATGCTCTAACATTAACATTGTCTATAAAAATTGTTAATGTCAAGGAAAGTTCCCACTCACATGAGAGTGACTATGCTTGAAACTATCATATTAGGCTAGTATGATCAACAAAGTTATTGTTTAAGGAAAATAGATCAAACGTTTGTCCTAAATGGGTCCAGAAGTACAATTTGGAAAACTATCTGGTTTTCTATGTAAATATCGGATAAGTAGACGGATAATTAAGAAAGAACGTAAGACTATAAGGTCTTAGAAAGAAATTATGTAAATAAGAAATAATACTATTCCATTAGTTTTGTAAGCAAGCACCATTTCCTTCTTCCCGAGCAAGAAAAGTGACAACGAAATGGACATCAGAATCGACGGGGGAGAAGAGCTGGAGCTTACCGGAGAAGCTGATGATGTTACAGTGACCAATCTTACTAATCAGAAACCACTCATGTCTTCTCCTCCTCCGTCAATTTCCCCGTTGATTGTTCCTGTGAAGGCGAGTTATGGTCAAATCTCTCAATCTAACGGTGAGGAGGAGTTTGATTGGGTGGCTGTAGAAAGAGGAGCTGATGTTGTTATTACGGATAAAGCTCCCGAAATTGACGAAGTCGAAGAAGCTTTCTCTGCACTTCAACTGTGAGTTTTCCGATTTTGTTAGAATTTTGCAAGTAAAAGGGTCTCAAGATTGACAAAAGACTCATCCCTTAGGATATTCA